ACAGATGGCCATCCAGCCTTGTTGGTGGCTGCTCCCAACCTCTGGAACTCCCTTCCACAGGAAGCTAGGCTGATGTCTTTCTTGCTCTCCTTTTGCCAGCAGGCACAAACTTTCGTTTTCAAGCAATATTTTTAATATTTATTTATTTATTTCCCTCAGAGAGTGGTGGAGTCTCCTTCCTTGGAGGTCTTTAAGCAGAGGCTGGATGGCCATCTGTCGGGGATGCTTTGATTTTGAGTTCCTGCATGGCAGAAGGGGGCTGGACTGGATGACCCTTGGGGTCTCTTCCAAATCTATGATTCTATGATTCATTTGTATGCCGCCTTTCTCCCAGAAGGGACCCAGGGTGGCTCACAGGTAAAAAGCATTTAATAAAAAAAAACATTACAATAATAACATCAGACATTTAGAATAATCTAAAAACCACATAAAAATATACCAAAGCTAAAAGGCACGACCAACACCCCCCTGCACACACACAAAAGCCACCCTAGCGTGGTTATATATTAAAATGCCTGCTTAAATAAATGTAATTGTGCCCAGGGAGGCTTCTTTAGAAGGGTGTTGGCTTTGTTATGTTTTTGTAGTTTTAACTCTTAGTATGTCTTTAATGGTTTTGTCTTTTTAGTTCGTAGGGCCAGCGTGGTGTAGTGGTTTGAGTGTTGAACTATGACTCAGAAGAACAAGGTTCGAATCCCCGCTCAGCCATGAAACCCGCCGGGTGGCCTTGGCCAAGTCACACTCTCTCAGCCTCGGGGGATGGCCCTGGCAAACCCCTTCTGAAGAAACTTTCCAAGAGAACCCTTTGATATTGATAGGTATCTATCATTGAGAGGGTCTTCCTAAGTTGGAAGTGACTTGAAGGCACACAACAAACCAGTGTGATGTTTTAATTCTGTTTTTAAAAGAATTGCACTGTTTCTCTTTTGTAAGCCTCCTTGGGTCCAATTTGGGAGAAAGGCAGCATATAAATAAATGAAATAAATAAAATAAAGTAAAGACGGATCTCTTTCGGCAGGCCTTCCCAGAATAACTGTCAGCGGTCAGATGAGTCCCTAATTCGTTATTCTGATTCCTTATGTTATTCTGGTTGTTTTTAATTTATTTAATGTTGTATTTTTAATTCGTTTGTTGTTTAATTCTGTTTTAAGGGGATGGGAGGGTGGGATTATGGGATGAGGAAATGTTTTTAATTCTGTTCTGTTTTTAAATATTATTGTACCCCGCTCCGATTGCTGTGCAGAGGGGTGGGCTATAAATAAAAAATTATTATTATTATTATTATTATTATTATTAAATTTGAAAGAGGAGCCTAGACCTGGGGCATTTGGCATTATCCATGAAAGCTTTGTGGAGCTTTGACGTTCAGCAACAGTATACCCCTCAAAAGGGAAAATTATAGTTTCTTTCATGCCTTTCCTTGTGCTTCCCAGCAAACACAATTCTGGGTTGGTGAAAGTTTGGGTCTGATCAAACAGGCTTCTTTATACACCGCATAATGTTGACACATGATAATGTTTGCAATACCTCCTGGGGATCATGGAGGAGGCCATTGCATGTGGATTTAAGTTAGAAAAAGAATCCAGTAGGTCCTCTTTGTAGGTTAGCAAGCAGGATGTCTTTCTCAAAAGAGGAATTTTTAATAAAGGCACCCAGGCAGAAGATTTTCAAGGGGATCTGGCCTGGTGGGTTTTATCAGATTTCCTTTTATCAGATTTCCTTGTGCGGCGTTGCTCTTTTGGCCTCCGTCCTTGCCAAAAACCTTTAAACCTTGAGCTTGAGGTTGACGGATTTTGCAACTGGGAACAAAACTGACCTATTCCGTCAATGCAAGCGCTCCTGGACTTTGTCTTTGGGATGCATTCCAGTGGCAGAATTTGCAAGTTTGTGCTTGTTGGATTTGGGCTCGGCAGTTTAGAAATCCACGGCTAAAGTTTAGAAATCCATTGCTAAAGTCTAGGTCTCTGGCCTGAAAAAGAGTCCTCACTACCCCGTTACACAGCAGTTTGATCCCGCTTTTACTTGTGGCTCTGTTGTACTGTGGAATCCTGGGATTTCAAGATTGGCAGAGTACTTAGAATTGTCTGCTACAGAACTCTACTCCATCCCCAGCACTACAGCACTAGAGGTCTCTAGGAGAGAATTCCAAATACCTCATCAAACTATAAATCCCAGGATGACATAGGGATTTCTGTGGCCATAGTCCAGGGGAGCTGAACTACAAGGCCTGGATTCTGCAAGATGCAACCATGATATTTAAAGTGGAATCAGCCAGCTGGAGCTCTGTAGTGTAGATGTTCCCATTGACAGTGTCAGGGATTAAACCTCAATGGGAAACCTACCATTATGTCTCAGGTTTGAACC